GGTTGTTTCAGTGGGGCAGGGCGGCACTCGGGGGGGTTGTTTTGGAGGCGCAGCGCTTGTTTCTTTTTTTTTTTTTTTTACTTCGGGCGGCAAAAAAGTTAGAGCCGGCCCTGCTCAACTGGGAAGGCACAAACATGGGATCTAGTCCCTGCTCCAATAACTATTTAAGTATGCCACACAAAGTGAAACAGCTTCAACAGAGACCTTCACTCCGGATTCCCTATAGTCCAGCAGTTAGGGCACTCACCTGGAGGTTCAAGTCCCTGTTTCAAATCAGGCAGAATGGGGATTTGAACATGGTGAGTGCTCTAACCACTGGGCTATTGGGTATGGACAAGGGTAGGCATCCTCATCTCCTGGCTATCTTTCGTGCATGTTAGTTATGCTGTGAGAACACCTACTGGATCAGGTGCCATTGGAGAGCTAAACAGGGAATGCCTAGTTTGAGAGTCTCACCAGGGCTTAGGCATGAGCTAGGCGCCAAGTAGCTTGGTGGCTTCACGGCCTAGGCAGTTATGCACCTGCCCAATGGCCGAAATGTAGGTACCGAAAGGACTTTGTCTGGTGCCTAGTTTTGTGCCAGTAATGAGAGTTGAGGGCGGTGCATGCCAGAAATATTCTGGACTTTACAAGATTAAGTCCCATAACTACTCTGTGCCTCCCTTTTCCTATCTATAAAATGAGGATAATACTTTACTAGCTATCAGGGATGTTGTTAATTCACTAATATTTATGAAACATTCAGCTACTTGGGTGTTTAAAGCTTATAAACATAGATGTATGGTTATTATTAGTTATAGTTAATCTTCAAATGGGAACCAGTAATCTGTTAATTGAGTACTGGAATGGAACTTAGAACTTCTGAATTCTGTTCCCATCTCTTCTACTGACTCATTGTGTAACAATAGTCTTAAGTGTTCCATACTTCTGTTTCCCAAACTAAGTTAATGATATTTACCCATTTTTCTAAAGTGCTTTGAGATCTTTAGGCAAAAAGTGATATCAGTATACAAGCACAGAGTATAGTTTTTCTATGTAGACGTTAGAGATTACATAGCATTGATGTGTGCTATTGAGGCAGACCATATTTTTTACAATACAAAATCAATTAATAAGAGTTTTCGATTACAAGTCTCACCTTCTAGATACACCACGTTGGCAGCACTTGAACTGGATACTTCTCTGGGTATGTTCAGATGTTCAATACTAAATCTGTCTACCTTTTTGTCTTTGCTGATCTACATTTTTATGTTTGTTTTCCCTAACTGAGAATCCAGTAATAGTCATAACAGAAATGTGAGCCCCATGTTGCAAGCAGTATGGGCCCAATCCTGTTTCCATGAAAGTCAATGAATGATCAAGCTCCTACAGATTTCACCAGATCAGGCCCTATTACACCAAATATAAATGATGCAGAAGCTGAAACTGATTCATCATTGGTTCAATTCATCATCAATCACAACAAAGTGGAATGTGTAGGCAGGGCAAAAATCTAACCCACCTTCTTGCGACTTGCATTTGGTACAGCTTTACCCATCTTGTGCAGCTTTAATACCAATAGAAAGGGGAAGCTGTTATACACAGTGAATGCCATGTATAATCAAGTACTAAATACTGATGCAGTAAGTTCTGTGACAACCTCCAGTTTCTTTTTTGTCTTTTCCTACAGTAAGCTGCCAGCAACTACTAATCTTTCTCTATTAGACACTCTCTCTTTCTCTAGGTTTAACT